TTGGTATTGCTATAGCCAAGACCAACACTTGCAATCAGTGTGTATTATTAAACCATTATGTTTTTGTAGAGTTCACCCTAATTCTAATATTAACTTCATAACATATCTCTACTATTTTGGTATTCAATTCAAGTTAGCCTAAAAAGGTAGATTGTAACTATACACCTCTGATTTATATATTCTCTATCATATAATTTTTTTTTTGAAATCTGAAAATTTCAATGGTCTGATTAGTTTATCTGATTCTTTTCTAAAGACTAGCATATTTGTTTAGTTTTACAAGTTCTAGCTCTGTTTGTAGGTTTAGTCTTTACAGTAGTATTATCGAAAATTTGAACTATCTCTTTATTCAGATCTTCCAAGTAGGCTTCTGTCTTCCTATCTGGTTTCCATGATTTACATAGCTTAAAGACTGATTATAGGTTCATATCACCTAGTACTGGTTTGTGTTTTTTGTATAATGTTGTATGAATACTTAGATCTTTCAGTCATGCTAGTATAATACAAATTACAGATATCTAATTTTAACCAATCACAGAAGACAGTTAACTATAATACAGAAAGAATTGCAAATTTTTACTATTATTAGAATTTGAACTCTAAATCTGCTACTTGAAAGTTGACAACCTGATCATTTTACTAGGTTGTCACATCTTACAATTTTAGTATTTTATTTTATAACTTTATTGGTATCTTGTATATTTTTGTAAATTTTTTTATACTATTAATATAATTAACTCTATATAATATAACTTAATGCTTAGATCTACTAGTTAGTTAGATTAGTAAATTTTTTTTATCTAAGGTTCTTATTTATACAGGTTATCTGTCTTAGATTCTTTCTTTAGATCAAAATTTTCATAAATAATATCATTAAAGATTATACTATTCTTTATTTAGAATTTTCAAATAAAACTTCTTATTCAGTATATATTTTTTAGATTTATTTATTTAATATTATACACTTTTAAAATTAACTAGAATTCTAGGTTTACAATCCTAAATACTTCATCTAAGTTACTGATATTCAGTTTCTTATTACAGTTTATACTTTTTAGATTTATTTGTACAACATTATACACTTCTAAAATTAGTTTTAGTACAACCAGAATTACAAAGTTACAATTTCAAATGCCCTTTTTAAATTGCTAAATTAGAACCATTTTCAAAATTCTACTATTAATAAGATTTGAACTCTGGACCTAATACTTGAAAGATGATAATTCAACTATTACACTAGAAGCAGTATCCATATTTTTTTATTTTTTGTACTATGCACCTTTACATAGGTTTAAAAAGTTATATTTTTTTGATAGTTCTGGTTTGACTGAGTGAATTATTGATCAGTCATTTTATGTGATTTTACTTTCAACTTTTCATTCATTAAGTGCTCTTTTTCACTTTATAAATTACTTCTTAAAGATTGTTTTCTTTATATTACTTTTTTTAAAACTTTGTGACTAAATTTTTCAAGTAATGTACTCCTTCTAATACGGATAGGGCCTCTGAACTTAATAGCTTAATACTATTTCCTGTTATAGCTGTTTTCATAAATTCTGGGATATCGATAAAGATTAATTAGCCAGATTGAATAATTTTTAAATTTGGTGTTGCCAGATTATTGTAATGCCAAAAATCCAACTCCGATAACATCGAATTCAATCAAATTTTTATCTGTTGTCTCAGAATTTATGAGAATTAGGTAATTGCATGATGTAGTTGCATTAAAACTAGAAACAATAATGCTTGGTTTTATATTTAATAAGAGAAGTGGTCTCTAATTTGATTTTAGCTCAATTGAGCATACAGTGATGATTAGAACATATGTGATGAATTAGGTCACATTGTCCAATCGGAGATTAGATTTTGTGGATTAACATTATACACTTCGTAATTTCATCACTCTGTTCCTAGCACAGCTGTAACTATTTAATTTGACTAATATTAAAATAATTCTGGTCCATGATCAACATATTTCTACCTGGAACTATGGAGCACTTTTTAAGCAGTCAAAGGATACCTAGCTTGATAGGCAATTTGGATTATATCAAACCTGGATTGAATCTGTATCAGATTATAAATAAAGCTAGCTTTAAGCATATCTTTAGATTTGTTGTTTAAGTTCTTTGCCAATCCAAGTAAATTTCTGATCTGGATACAGTCAAACCTCTCTATAATCACACTCTTGGTTTAAAGAATTTGGTGCTTATAGAGAGTTTGTGCTTATATAGAGGTTAAATTTTATAAGTTCTATATAAGTTGGTTTTAAAAATTTATATGATTATAAGCAAATGTGACTATAGAGGAGGTGACTATAGAGAGGTCTGACTGTATATGAATTTATTGGAATTTGACATGTGAGCTGACATAGTTAGTATTAGTGTTATTATCATAAGGATCATCCTAATCAAAGACACATGACAAAATAAAGAATTGTATGAATTTAGTAAATAAGGGATGATTAAAATGAAAGTTTAAGGAAACTAGAATGGGAGAATTTAATGAAACAGAAATAAGCAATAGTCAGAAGTGCTTGTTTCTTTCATTGCCCAATTATAATTATCTGGCATTATCGTTTTAGTCCATAATCATTTAGTCATAGTATCTTATATCAGATTCAAACCTATTGAAAAATGACTTGGCAGACATTTGTTATAGTCTAGGTATATTATCAGAAGGAAATAAAACAGATTTCGTTCAAAGAATAAAGAAATACTCACAGTATGAGGGTTGCAGAGAAAACAGTGAAATGTTAAGAAATCTAGAGAACACAAGAGAGAATATGGTTAATATAGATTCAGTAGCTTCTGGTTATCATTCAGAAGCCTCAGATATATTCGATAAGAACTTACAAACCTTGAGAGAGTTGGCAAAAAAAAGCACTGAATGTGCTAAAAATACCCTTTCAAAACCAACTTACATGATAAAGAACTTCAAGAAGATCCAAAAATGCAAACAAATAAATTAGTAAAGAAAAGGAAGTTATATGAAAGCAATAGCACTTCAGACCTTTTGAAAGAGAAATTATTACTAGGATTTAAAAAGTTAGAAAACACAATGTTGAATTTTGACAACAAATTAAACACAGTAACACTTCAAGTTCAGGAAACATAACAAAAAGCAGATATAAAAGATGCCTGGCCAAAGCATAAATTTGACAAAGCACATGATCAGCATGAGTATAACACATTGAGATCCATAGAAAAAGAGCTCGATCTAGCAATGGAATTTCTGACAGCAGATGATATTACAAATTATTTAAGTACAGCAAACAAGCAAATAGAAAATAGAACGTTTACATTGCAAGTAGCAGAGGGTTTTGGTTGAGAAATTGTGTCAGCTCTACCTGACATACAAGACGATTGGTTGAAAGGTAAAGATTCATTGATTGAGAAAGTGAAAGCTATTGTAGACGTGAAAAGGAATAAGTGATACAAGACATACAGTATGGAAAAAAGTCCTAGTTACTTACAGGGAAAAAATAATAATCAACTAAATTATTATAATAAATATCAAAGTGAGTTTTGAAATAAGTTTTTTCGTCCCAACTATCAGTCTCAAAACAACATCGAATTGCAAAAAAAATGTTACATTTGCAGAGGCTACGGCCACTTTGCACGAACCTGTGTCTCTGATCCCAATAAAGCCTTCGACCAACAACAATACCAATGCTATGGGTATAAGTCAAAGGGATATGTGGCATACAGAAATAAATATGAGAGTAAAGGGCATGATGACACAAAGTATAAGTGACTACACTCAGGCCCAACAGTTAATACCAGTGGTAGGTCGAATTCATATGAAGGAACATGTAAGGTATTGAATAGAAAGTGTGAAACTACCAAGCCTGATAATCAAATGGTTAAAGAATGAAATTCTCTTATTCCTGAAAGGATTGGTAAATTTAATGAGGCAACCAGACCCACTCTAATATCCTCTCACATAGGACCAACAGTCTTAGTTGCAGACAGAAATGAATCGTTTATTAAAAATAAAGGCAATAGTGCTTGTTGTGAATTAAAAAGTAAGACCAAAACAATTACTAGAGGTAAGTACAATTTTCTTGGTGCCAAAGTCAGGCCCAAAGAAATGGCATTGATCATCGATCTAAAATGACTAAACAAAACATTACCTGTAAAGTCATTCAAATTTGAAAGGTTCCCAACTTTTTTAAGAATGGTAGGACAAAATTGGTGGATTATAGTATTAGACCTGAAAAAAGGCTATCATCATATATTAATAGAAGAAAAAGTGCAAAAGTTATTAGGTTTTGTAATCAGAACAAATTGGTATTATTATCACATATTACTGTTTGGCCTAAGCCAAGTAGTATGAATATTTTCGAAAGTTATGAGAGCCCTAATAGGGCATTGAAGGTCCCACAGAATATTTTGTAGGAACTATATCAATGACATTTGGGTTGCCCATCCAAGTCAGAAAACATTATTAAAAATAAGAGACCTAGTAATATTAAAGGATTTAAGGAATTGCAGATTTATCCTAGCAGAAAAAAGCATCTAGAATTCACACAAAAAGTAAAATATTATGGGTTCATATTGGACACAGTTTTAGGAAACATTACTGTCTCAGAAATAAAAATAAAAAAAGTATTATCTGACCTAAAAAAACTTCTATCTAAAAGGTCACTTACAGCTCGTCACCTCTTCTCAACTACTGGCAAATTAATAAGCTTAAACAAAGCCTTCAAGTATGTAAAAGTTCAGTGCTTAGAACTTTACTCAATAATAGATGCAGAGAACTGAAAGCCCTAGGAATGGAATACTCTGATACAACTAACATCCCAAGCAATCATAGATATAAACTGGACTATAAAAAATTTAAAAAAAAAGAATGGAAGTCTGGCTTAGAAGCCTGTACAAGTAATGGTGCTATTTGTAGACACATCTACAACTGGTTGGTCTGTGGTTTTAGGGAAAAAACAGGCATTTGGAAATTAGAATCGTTGCTACAAGCATACAGATATTGCAGTTCTAGAGTCTATGACAACTCTCCTTGGCCTCAAATCATTCACTCCAGTCATTGCAAACTATTACGTGACAGTCTTTATAGACAATCAAGTAGCCAGGAAGATGATGAAATCAAGAGGAAAAAGACCTTGGCAGAAGGAAATAATGAGAGAAGTATGGAACTTCTGCGAGTTACACGATATCAGAATCCAAGAATTCCTATGGGTATCTTCACAATTAAACCCAGCAGACAAGCTAATATGTTTATTTGACAAAACAGATTGAACACTCTCTTAAGAGCTTTTCAAGTTTATAAATCAAAGGTGGGGTCCATTTTCAATAGATTAGATAGCAAGTTACTATTCAAAAAAAGTTGGTCAGTTCAACAGTTGGTTTTACTGCCAAGGGACAGAAGCAGTAGATTGCTTCATGCAATATTGGGAAAATGAAAACAACTACATTTGCTCTCCCCTGGGCCTAATTCACAAAGTGTTCGAACAAAATATGCAGTGCAGAGTCACAATAACATTAATAACACCAGTTTGGTCCTCAGCACCATGGTGGCCCATCCTTCTCCAACAAAGAACCAAGACAATGGACCTCCCTCCTGCAACCCAAAGCTTTATGCCAAGTCAATGTGAGAACTTGCCACCAGAACCTTAGAAAAATCCAAATTGGAAGTTTCAAGTCATAAAAATTTATTTTTAAACTTGTTATTATTGAAAGTAAACAAAGTTTTAACACCAAGTTCACCATACAAAAAATGTTTACATTACCTGTAGGAAGAGTTTAATGCCTTCTGTGAACTTCATGAAATAATCGCATGCCTAGCAAAACCAGGAATAATCCTAATATTTTTAATATGAAAAAACTTAATCGAGAGATCAGCAAGCCCAAGATTTTACTTAACTGCAATTAGTTGTTATCATCAAACAAAAGGGTTTAAGGATCCAACACTTAATTTTAATGTTCAAAACCTAGCTCGAAAATTATCAAAACAAATAGCAAAAAATAAGGAGGCCATGTGGCTATGTGATCCTTTGCCAATAGTGACCCTAAAAAATTATGTAAATGACCCACCTCACAATACCCTATGTAGTATTTGGAAAAAAAATTGTGAATAGTTGCACTGGGACTACGTACCATAAGAAGACCTAGTGAACTATGTAACTTGAAAATTGGTGATTTGAAGATGCTAGAAGGAGTTTGCTAGGTCAGAATTAATAGATCAAAAACTGATCAATTTGCAAAGAGAAAATTTATCTCAGTTGACCTTACAAACTCAAAATACTGTCTAATTAAACTAGTGTTTGATTACTTAGCTTCAAGAGGGAAACTAAAAAGAAATGATTGGATATTCGTAAATGTAGCTGGAAACCATATAACAACTAGAGTAGTGAACTCAATAGTAAAGAAAATAGCACTTAATGCAGAATTAGAAGGAAGATATTCAGGCCATAGTATTCACATTAGTGATGCCACAGGTGCAATAAAAGCTGGACTAACATTACCACAAATTATGAGTATTGGAGGGTGGCTATTCCAATCCATAACACTCTACCTTAGGTTGCTTTCAACTGTGTTACAGAATACTTCTATAAGGATGGGATTTTAGTATTAGTAAATTAACCTCAGTTCTGATTCTCTTTTTGTCTTTCATAATGTTATTCCATATATAAGGTTTTAATAAAGTAATCTGAGCGAGAATAATAACACATGAGCTGATGTATTCAGCGTTAGTGTTATTATCGTGAGGATCGTCCTAATAAAAGACACATGACAAAATAAAGAATTGTATGAATTTAGTAAATAAGGGATGATTGAAATGAGAGTTTAAGGAAACTAGAATGAGAGAATTTAATGAAACAGAAATAAGCAATGATCAGAAGTGCTTGTTTCTTTCACTGCCCAATTATAATTATCTGACTTTATCGTTTTAGTCCCTGCCCTCCCTTCCAAATAAACTTACAAATAGCCCTTAAGCAGGTATTAATAATAATAAGTTAATAATGATATATTGCTGCGCCAAAGCGTAAGCACCTTATCACTGCGGTGAATCTTGCATTTGCTCTGTTCTCATAATCTATTACCAGCTATCATTAATACATATTTTATTTAAGAGGTCACTACACCAAGCGTGGGCACCTCACCAATGTGGTGAATCTTGCATTTGCCCAGTTCTCATAATTTTTATCAGTTATCATTAGTACATATTTAGGTCACTACACCTAAGCGTGGGCACCATATTATTGCGGTAAGTCTTTACACCTAGCCATTTAAATTCATGAAATACATATATAGATGCTTTCCCTTGTTTATGTTTATTACACCACGACTATGTATACATATATCCGATACTCCCTATGTTTTCGTCACGTGACTTGCAGCGAGCGTACTACTCCCATAATGTTATTCCATATATAAGGTTTTAATAAAGTAATCCGAGCGAGAATAATAAGGATCAATCTAGAATCGGAACACTAGTTGCTGCGCCGCCAATTAATTGAGTTCGAAAAATTGCAATTAATTACACCTACAATCAATTATTCGGTAAGCCTGGTTTTGAGTTCATTTCTTTAAAATATTCGATTATTATTAATCTTTTCTTTATTTATCTTTTTCTAATTAGAAAAATCCATATTATATATCTACATCATTTTTTAACACATAAGTTGTGGTTTTGGCAACAATAATTCTTGCATTATTCTTCTTTTGAAATATAATTAGAATTTTTGTTCAAAATGCTGTGGTGAATATATGCAGCATTTTTATTGCTAGATGTTTCTTTCTTTGTAAGAAGAAAGAGTTAAATTTACTTATATATCCAAAGAAGTGCTTTACTTCGACCCAAAGCGACGGCAGATAAAGTTGTCGCAAATAATATTGTGATAGTGAGAAAGACTATGAATGCTTCGTTTTATAATAGTAAAATATGGGATGCGTGGATTATGTATAGATTTTCGTATATATAATTCTGACTACCTATTTCACGTAAGCCGTTAGGAGTTTTTATTTGAATACATATGAGAGAAATAAACCACTAAACTCAAAACCGCTTTTGAGCGAAAAATAAATATTAACGTGCTCATACTGAAAAAATATGCACGCACTAGTAACACTGCTATAACTTAATAAGAAATAATAAAATAGAAGTATTGAATTCTATTTTCTGGTATATGTATAATTTATATTTACACCTTATCAATACAATCATGAAACTTTTTTTCAAAATCCATTCAAACTATAATAATACAAAAAACTACAATGTCCAAAAAACAACAGAGAAAAAAAAAATTAAAATAATTACAGTAAGCCACCAAAAAATTACAGCAAATAGTTAATGAAATCTTTTCCTAGCAAAGCATCTAAAGTTTCCGATGGTTGTTTTATATTGATCAAATTCTTTTTCAACAGATACAATGAAATCATCAAAATCAGGGTCTTCGTCATGTAATTTTAAGTAAATTGACTTTCCTATACTTTTATAATGCTTTAACATCTAGGATGTGGAAAAATGCAGTGTTAATAATAAATGTATTCTTTTACTAAACGGGTGACGCCAAGGAAAAACCAGACTTTAATAATATAAAATTGATATGATTCAAGTCTGGTTTCCCTTATACACTAGAGCAATATCTTACCAAAGAACCAAATTGACCGCCCCAAGTGCCAATCGGACCTCTTTTTTCAAAATGCTTAAAATCTACTAGAGAGTGATGATTTTTCATCGTTTGAGGAATCGGATCGACCGTATTTTCAGAATTTATTCCATCTGACCGAAGTACTGTAGATTTTAAATATCATTTATTTTTTTTCCATCAAATAACATTAATTAAATTATATTTACTTTGACTTAATCCAGCCTGTGCGATAGGTCCCGCATTTTCATACCCTCTATATTCCATAATCTATTATAATTCATGTAAAACAGTTTGCATACGATAAGTATAACGATATGTTATGCATAACTTGTAGAAAAAGTCACATCATAATACCTCAATCCATCCGCCCGGTTTGCACACCTATATAATACGTTGAATTGTTGTTATGAAAATTGCTTTAAGGTATATTAATAGTTCAACAATAATAGACACTGTACCCTGATCATTTCATCCAGTAAATAGGTAAATTGCCATCCTGTCAATGCAGTAAACGCAAGAAACCGTTCACAAACGAAATCAAACGTGTTATCAGGAAACGGAATCCCATCTAACACATTCGCTTGTATGAATCCAGTATTTGGAAATCGTCGGTCTGGTGGTGGAAATAGATCTAACTTATCAAGTCCGAGAAATGTACTTGTTGGATATTGTGCCGCCATATCTAACGATACAATTGCAATGTTATATAATATATTTTAACAGAGATCCACATTTATTGGGACACTTGACATACCTAAAATCCATGATCCTGTTGCGCATCTATGAGTTGGCATTGATAAAAAGCGTAGAAATGACAGTTAGACCCACGGAATTGTTACGAAATAACACAATCAAATCTTTATAGTCATAATTTATTACCCAATATCAAGGACTCGAATCCCACTAACCAACTTTTCATTTATAGGAGATGAGAAATTGCCTTGCCATTGATATCTACACATATAATGCCCCATATTCAACAGATTCAAATTGTCATTTTCCAAATCATCCAGAGAATAATTATCCTTAACATTAGGCTTTCCATCACGCAAAAAATTAGATTGTTGAAGTTTCAAGAGAGCATGTTTAGAAATGGAGATCACATTAATCGAGCCATCGTTCCGAAGTTTCTCTTGTCGCTTCTTCTTTGTGATGGGTAGGCGCATTTATTCTGGAATTAGTATCAGGGATAATGTTGTCTACTTGCCGTTAAGAGAAGCTGAAGACTAGAAGGGCAGAAAAGAAAATGAGTCAATCCTGAGCATTTTATATTTATTTTGGTTAAGAATGAGCAACGATGATACCATATTTACCACGTGGTAAATTCGAAAACAATCTAAATTCTTAAAGTATTTCTTCTTTAAAAACTTTATTTGCTCATGTAAGGAACAACAAAAACCTTCTTTGTCTTTTCCTAAGACAGATAATAAAATCAAAAATCAAAAAAATCAACAATCTCGCATCTAATCAATGCAAATGATTACATATATATGTGCTTTTTTGCCAAACATGGTTGCAATATATCTGGTTAAGAAAAATGCCTAAATTTATTAACACGCGATTCTCGCATTTACTGCCAAGAGTGACATTTTCGAAAAAATAAAATGTGTATGTATTGTATATAAAATATTCCAAAAAGAAAATCAATCCAAGTTGAATGATTATTGGTACAATCATATGTATGTTACCTACGTACTTGATTTATAGGAAATTAATGATTGGTATTCAGATGCCATGAAAGCTACAGCTATGCATCTATAGCTTATGAAAGGACTATTGTTTGTTCAATGTAACATTGGTTCAATTTGTTATCGGTTCCACAGATTATACTTTATTTATGTTTTAGATCTGGACTGCTTTAATCTACAGTTATGCTTAATCCGGATCCTTTTAAATATTAATATTAGAGAAAACATAAATGCAATTAATCGAAATCCAACAGCGTTTACTGTGTCTTACCGAAATAAGCACCACTCTTTTTAGTTTGTTTATGTCTAACTTCAGATCAACGGGAAAAATTGCGCTTATTCCGGTAGAACGTAATATTAAATTCTATGCTTTCTTCTTTCACTGGAAAGAATTGTATTACAGCGATACATCGCTCAATTGCATGTGAAATAAGCATTTATAATGTATTATACTTAAAAGTGCGTGCGATATAAATGTGTGCTGCAAAGCGGACCCGTCTCACTCGTATGGTAATTGAATAGAAAAGCTATTCGAAAGCGAGTGCCGAATGGTGGCCATTACCAGGGTTGTCAAATTACGATAATCCAAAAAATGATGAGTTATTAGCGGAAGTTAATAGTAATCGGTAATTTACCATTAACGTTAAATTTGACAGTAATTTACCAATGGTAACTTACCACAGTAAGTTTACCACTAAAAACTCTGGCCATGACCCATACACTAGTTTGGGACGTCCCAAATAGTTTGGTCGACACTGATAATATTGATAATCATTGTTTCGTCACTTTATTGTAGGGGTGTTATCGGCTTAACCTGTTTGTAATATTATTATTTCCGTTTAATAATTAAAATAATACGACAGGGTGAAATCCGCAGATTTTACCCTTAAAATAATTTCCGGTTCGACTTTTCGGAAAATTTACGTTACTTGGACAAGGTCGTCATATCTGAATCTCTGAAAAAAAAATATAATGTCGACAAAAGAGCGGTTACATCACTCGGAAATTTTGTGCATTGGATGGAACAAGTAGAATTTTAACATTCACCAGAGGTGAAATTCACCGGGTATGCCATTTCTTTAATAATTGGTGTTTGGAGTACTAACATGTCGCTTATAATTGCATATCGATATTTATTGGTCAAACCAAATTGATATACAGTACAGTACTAACATAAATCTTATAATTTACAAAAATTTTCTTCATTTTAGTTCGGTTAAAAGTTATATGGGGGTGGTAGTAGAAACCAAGCAAATTGTTTATATTAAATTTTTTTTTCAGGTTTTAAGCAAGAATATCTTGACAACTACTTGACCAAATTTAATCATTTTTTTATTTTATTTGAAAGCTAAATCTATAGAATTTAAATAAAAAAAAATTTTATCAGATAGTTGTCAAGATATCTCTGTTTAAAATTTTAAAAAATTTAAAATAAAACAATTTGCTTGGTTTCTACTGACCACCCCATATATAAAATTTGATTTTAAGCTTTAAATTTTTATTTATTAATATTAAAATTGAATGAACCTTTACTATATACTTTAAATCAAAAAACTGATTCCATATAAAACACCATCATATCTTTCTCTTAAATATTTTTGATTAACTAACTTTTAACTTTGTTTTGTTTCTAATATTAAGGTGAGGTTTGACATTATACGTATCTTTATCAAGTTATAATGTATATATAATCTATGTAATACGTAGTATATTTAGAAAAGAAGTTTAAACTAATTTACCTATACTGGAACTCTAGAATCCTACTGGGCATCTGGATTTTCTAGAGTTCCAATAGTTCCGGTGAGAAATTTCACTGGCCAAATTTGATCACTAACTAATCAAATCAATCGAAAAATTTGTATGCGAATAAATTATTTACTAGAAAAACGGTGACGTTTTGTTGGTTAGAGCCAGTGCTTAAATCTATATGCTGAATCTGCGGGATTTTTCTATTATGTTGTGTTTACGAGAATACTAAATTTTTCCGTATATTAAATTTTAAACACCCTAATTATTAGGTTTTACACTTTAGAATTATATTTTATAAATTGCTATTACTTATAAGTTTACATATAAGATAAATTCATAAAAAAAGCAATCATTATTCTTCGTATTTGGGTGTAATTTCTGTCAAAAAAAACAACACTATCGAAAAGTGTAAACCGAAATTAATATCATGTGACAACTAACAGTAATGTGCCAAGAGTGCTAAAATTCTAATAATAGTGCTAAAAGTGTTAATAGCGCTAATGGCTTTACTAGAGCTATCAGCACTAATAACGTTAGTGCAAAAGATCATAATGTTCTATAATGTATAAATAGCTTCAAAAATCGCTCTTGTAAAAGAACAGTTCTAAACTCAACAACTCAATCATAAAGGAGTAATCGTGTCTTCATACATGAACAATTCGAACACTTTATTAAACTATAAACTAATAATCCGCTAAAGAGTAATCATGTCTTCATACACGGATAACTCAAATAACCAATAAACTAGTTATAGTGCCTCCATACACGAATAACTTTATTAAATAAATTGTAAACTTGTTATACGACTGGACTACTTGTATCTTTATATACATTTAGTCGTTTGCCTCTTTCGTAACTGCAGATCACCTTAATCCTCTTAAAAGTGTAACTGCAATAAACACTTAAACATAAATCGGCATTGTTATTGATTGCTTAATCTATCCGTCGCTAAACTGAAACCGTTATACCGAACTTACAAGAGGTAGTCTCGGGTGAAACAGTACGAACCTTTGATGGTTTTACCACAAACTCGCAACATCCAAAATCTCGAAAACCATAATCCAGATGTGACAATTAAAATTTAAAGATTAGTAATCATATTAACAATTATTGTCAGACTTTAAATTTTAATTGTCATATCGCGTGATGTCAGTATTATGGCCTGTCGAGATTTTGGATGTTGAGATTTTGTGATAAAACCGCCTTTGATATACCTATAAATGTAAGACTGGTTGCGAATTCCTTATTTCTAAGATTTATTACAACTTATGGTAGCTTTAATCGTTGTGGTTTATGATTGTAATTTCTCAAGCAAGGCATAAAGTAATTGCATGTAGGGATGTTGTTGGCTTTGCATAAAACCAGCTTTAGCTACAATTTAAGTCAAACCAAGCCAATAACCTAAAGCTATAGCTTAAACCAAATTTAAAAATTACTTAAAATTATAAAAAAATAATTATTGGTTTTAGTTTTAATTGTAGTCAATAGTTTGAACTATGGCTTAGTTATAGCTTGGCTATGGCTTTTTTAAGCTAAACTAAGCTATCCAAGCTAATAACATCCCTAATTACATGCGAGAGTAACTTTCTGATCAAGTATATTAATTGGTCGAGTTGGCATTCTTCTTAATGTCAACAACCGTAATCAGTATTCCATATCCCATTTACTAATTATTGGTTCTTTAGTCATTAGCCTTTTTATTTTATTCTAACTTCATTCTTTATAGCAATTGGAATATAAAATCTTACGCCATATGTCAATCTACGGAACAATGATTGAAAATATATCCAATTTTTGGCAGTAAATAACCTTTGATTCGCCAGCCCGTCTTGGATGATTTTGCCACCAAAATAATCACCTTGATAAGATGATTCTAACAAGTACAGGACCTTTTATCAAGGCAGTCATATTTCGGTGATAAACTCATCGAAAACTGACTGGTTAATTAAAAGTTATTTACCTTTAAAGTTTAGGCAACACAGCTAATTGTTCGGTTTCATTACCTGCAGACCCTTTTTTTTTTTTTTACAACTTATTTTTAAACCAAAATTATTTATTTTAATCATTTTTAATGAATTTAGTTCAAAATAATAAAGACTTATTTAATCAATACACAGTCGCACCCACGGTATATGAAAAACCTCTCTAAGTACATGCTTTCTCTTGGTCCCAAATAATATAACAATTATAAATTTTAATCTCTCTAAGTGCACAACTCCTCTAAGTGCTCGTTATGCTTTTTTTTTTACTATGGTCCCAAGGTGGGTGCACTTAGAGGGGTGCGACTGTACAAGAATTACTCCAGTAATTTAGAAAATAGAGCAAATCGGAACGTTTCGGGATGATACCCATTATGAACCTGATTGGTTGAATCTAATGGTTTATAGTAACAGTAGCATGAGTAGAGATCGCTTATTATAATATGCGCATTTTTCCAATCACTAAGCATGAGTAAAATGTGAATTTTAGTAGGGTTTATATTTTCAAATCAAGACTCCAAATTTCAGCATCTGGCCTCAGTATTAGTAATGGGTAGAATCGTCTCAATGATAGTCGTCACATTGCCATAACTCAGTAAGTAATATAGTAAGTAACTTATATTGTGACAGGTTTATTGGACGAGTTCAGAGATGGGGCAAATGCGACGAATTGTCGCTAGAAAAACAGTTATGCCGCGTAACGTTCCTCAAAGATAATAGAGGCGGTTTTACGATTTGGCACAAGGTCAA